AAAAAAAAAAAAAACCTCCCCCTAAGCTAAACCAAATGGGGATTTAACTTCCATAGTACCACCTATAAAAGATTATGTTGGTTTTATTAAACAGAAATATGAGTGGAGAAGCACCACAAAAACCTGCTCCTCGCTTGAATGAGAGGATTCTTTCATCCATGTCGAGGAGGTCAGTTGCTGCTCATCCTTGGCACGATCTTGAGATAGGTATGTAGGTAACTCATGTGAATTAAAATGTCTACTTTTTCCATGATTCAATGTGCATACAAAAAGTTTATACACGAAACTGATATCTTTGTGATTTTGCACACAGGACCTGGAGCTCCTCAGATTGTCAACTGTGTACGTTATCACAACTCTTAAGCTTGTTCATGAGTTTATTTGTTGCTATCTACCAAAGTTCAAAGCAATTTTGCAAAAAAACTAGTATGTTGAGCAACAAGACTGAAAACTCAATACACGCTCACAAGGCTTTACTATTTACTGTTCAATATAAAGGAAAATCCTCGATCCATTTCTCCCAATGTCATAATATGCTAGAATATTGTTTGGCTTTCCGAACTCCATTACAGCATGCCTCATTGAGCACCATTAATACATTTTTTCTTTTCTCATGATTTCTTATCTGATTGGGTGAAGACAGCCTTTGTAACTGGTTAAAAAGTAACAGTATGTTTCAGGTTCCATGATTATCTCTGCCTTCGCCATTGACATTTAACAGAGAAAATTAATTATGAATCAAATTCACTATTGCTGTTTTATTCCAATGTTGCTCGTTAACTGTCTAATTCTGATATTGTGAATGGTAGACCAAATTGATTGCTTTTGTTGTCTGAATACACTGACATCAAAGAGCTTCCTCCTCATCGACTAGCTGTGATTCGTCGCTTTTTTGAAGACTGTATCCTTTGCACCTTTCTTTCTAGGTATTTGATATTTATGGAAACTAAGATGGAGACGGAATATTTTTCTTGACAATTAATTTAGACAAGAAGAATGAGAACAAAGAGGTTGCAGTTAATGATTTTTTGCCTTCAGCTACAGCTCATGAAGCTATCCAGCACTCCATGTAAGCTTTAAATACATCTTACAAACCTTGAGGAGATAAGTGGATGGGAAAAATGAGAGATTGGAGACCTGAGATGATTTCTATACTTGTTTAACTATTGCTGTTTTGTTTGGCTAAAACAATCTTATGTAAGAAAATGAGTGAATTTCTTTTATTTCTTGTATGTTGTTTGTTTTCAACTAAATTTTAAAATTTTCAACTCAACTATTAGTGAATTCTGTTTTCTGTCGTACCAGATGCTAGAAAATGAGAAACTCATTTTCCAGATTTCCAGCGAAACAAACAGAGAATTATTTTATTTTATTTGTCGTGAGCTGATTCTCATCATTCTTTATTGAAATTAGAATAGTTAAAGCAAATTATGAACTATATGGACTTGTATTGTATTTCTATTTGTCAAAATTATTTATCCTCTGTTGTTCTGCGCTTTGTAGGGTTTGAAAAGGAAATGTTTACAAGGACGAATGAGAAACAGGCTATGGAAAGAGAAGCGTATCTTTGGTCTGTCTCAGATATGTGAAGTGTACACCAAAGAAAACGACACAAACTTTATTTTACTGCTTAGAAAGTGCAAGGTTGGTTCACAGAGTTGACCCTAAATATGTCTAGTGTGCTTGTCTGAGCTTCCTATATCTCTCTTATTGGGTAATTTTCAAATTTTTTGTGGAAATTGTGAATGTATTAGTCACGAGGATTAGTTTTGAGAATCGAATAACTTAGCTATGTGGTTGCCATCTCTTTTTTTTTATTAGCAATTCCGAAGTGAAAACAATTGTGAGGATTTTCCGTTTTGGATTTTTTGTTTGTTTGGTGTCTTATTTGCTCTTTTTTATCTTGTCCTGGAAATAATGGATTCTGCATTTTTGCAACTTTTGAAGAGCTAAGGTCGACTTGAGAACAATGAGGATAGTTGATTTGCTTGTGTAGAGCCTTGTAATTGTTGGCAGCAGATGATCTCTGTCTGTCTGGGAGCAGAGGATCTCTGTCTCTGTCTCTCTCTCTCACACACACACACACACACACACATTATTCATCATAATATCAGAGTTCTCATCCAGCCTTTCAAATAAGTTTTCAATTTTTTTATTTTTATTTTTTTGGTTACAGTAATCACTTGTGATGGCCATCTATTGAAACATGGTTTTGGCTTGGAACGAAGTATTTTTGAAGACTGCAGCAAAAAGGGGTTGCACGCAAGAAACCACTGGGGTTCTTTCAATATAAACTCGAGTGATGAGTGTCTGAGAATAGGATTCACCTGCTTTGAGGACTATTTGCGCTTTTTCCCTCCAGAAATGTACTCTGGAAGGTTTACTGCTATGCAAGTTGTCTGGTTATGTATCCTGGACATTTCTGGGCTATACTTTGTTAGAATCATCAGTAAGGTGCTGATCTTTATTAATTATTTAAAAATACTTGTAATAAGGATGTAAATTGAAGGAGTAAACCTGCCCAACACATCTTATAACTCAATATACAAAGTAAAGAGGATGCAACAAAATAATAATCAACTACCAACATCCTCGGACACAAGTCCGGATCACTATACAACAAGGGTAAACCCGGGATCGCTATACCTGCGATTCAAGATTATAATAATTTTTTGGCAAGGGCAATTGCAGGAGGGACTAGTCAGTTTGTTAAAGGGATCTTCAAATGCAGCAATGCTTACACCAACCAGGTTTGTTTTCACCAACTTATTAGTACTATATGAAAACAGAATATTCTAACATGCTTGGAAAATATAGTAGTAATATTTTAATTCCTAAAGGCAACATAATGGAAAATGTTGTATTTATTGATCTTCAAATGTTGTATTTGCGGGTGTGCATGTTTTTGTTGATGTTTTGTTTGACAATTATCTTCCATTTTCATAGAACATTGACATTGTTCACATGACATTTGTTTTTGCTATTCTGTCTATAGATCTGGATTTCAGTTTCCTTGAGATGAATCCCTTTACCTTGGTGAATGGAGAGCCATACCCATTAGATATGAGGGCAGAGTTGGATGACACTGCTGCCTTTAAGAACTTTAAGAAGTGAGCTCCTCCTCCTCCTTCTTACATTCTCTTTTGATACATAGTAAATTGATCTGTGAAAAGTTCCATTTAAAATAACCCTATTATGATACTATCTAATCCTATTTATTTATGAGTTTAGGTGGGGTGTCATAGAGTTTCCTCTTCCCTTTGGAATAGTTCTGAGTCCTACAGAAAGCTTCATTCACTCATTGGATGAAAAGGTAAGTGCATTACTTTTTATTTATGCATAGTATGAGAAATTTTCTATTTTGAGTAATCACCAATTGTTAAGTTGTAGAAATTTTCTATTTTGGTTTTGGTTTTGGTTTTTTTTTTGAATTTATTTTTATATAGTTAGTTGAGCCACAAAGTGTGCCTATATATTAAGGAAATGAGCTTTTTGACTGTAGATGCATTTTTGACTGTATATTAAGAAAAGTGTGCCTGTATTTTATGCTGGTTTCCCTGGTAAGAATATCTTCAAAAGGATATATCGACACACTATACTACATCCAGAATGGTAGGTGGTGTCATAAAGTTAGGAGCATTTTGTCTGTTCATAATTTCTTGCTAGTTCTATTTAGTTAACATGTTGGCTTCACCTTCATTCATCTATCAATTATTCAATGCCGTCAATTTACTTTCTTGAAGTCCTAAACATTGGGTGTTCTACCTGGAGCTACTATTCTAGGTAATTGGTGCTACTGGAGCTGTGAAGCATGAGGACCTTGTTGAGCAAGTGAAGAAGTTGTTTACCAAATTGTCATCGGATCCAACCACAACTTCTGAATTAGTTGCCAAAGGGCCAGCAATTTTTTCAGATTTTTTGTGTTAAAATCCTTTGGTTTTTTATTTTTTCTTATTTTCCTTGGATCTAACAGTGGGTGTTTTGGTTCACTTCTTATTTTTTGTATTAAATGGGGGAGTGGTGAGAGAGAGAGGAGGGTAATGTTATTTTGTGGCTTTGTATATAAGGTAGTAATTTTTTGATTGAGAATTGTGAATTCAATTTTTGAATATGTTATTTTGTGGGAAAATTAATGCTATATTAAATTGAATGGGAAAGTGAATTAATGTTATATTTGTTATTTGAATGTGAGTTATTATTTCATATTAGTGTTATTTAGTTTTATTATTGGTGTTCTTTTAGTTCAATCACATAAAATTAGCACAATTTCAAAACAAAAAAAAAAGAAAAAAAGAAAGAAAGATAAGACGGTGTTTTTAAAATGCCACTATAACGGTTGGAATTTTTAAAATTTAAAAAACCTATGAAGGCGTTTTAAAAACGTCGCTAAAATCATAGTGACGTCACAGTATTGTTAGGGTAGGACATTTGGCGGCGTTTTTAAAAACGTCGCATATACTAATATAGCGACGTTTTCCAAACGTCATAAAGTTATAGCGACGGCCGCGTCGTCGGCGTTTGGTACTAAACATCACAAAAAGAATTAGCGACGTTTTTGATACTTATAGCGGAGTGTCTTGATAATTTTTTTTTAAAAAATTTACTTTTATAAATAAAAGGTTCAAGAACCACATCATTTAATTACCCTTCCTAATTATATCGATGGGCAAGCACTCTCAACTAGATGGGTAAATAACAAGGTCAATTTGTTTTAAATTTTTGCCAAGAGTGTCAATTAGCTTTTTAATTATGCGCTCCATTTTTATTTTATTTTTTTATAAAGAATTTTAAAATATATATATTTTTCATAAAAAAATACTTAATGTAATAATAGTTGCATTATTGGTGGCAGAAGTAGCGATGGTTGGGTGGAAGTATTGGACCCATGGTAGCAGTAGTGATGACAATAATAATGATGATGATGGTATTGAGCCAATGGTTGATGGTGGTATTGAGCCGGTGGCGGTGGAAGTGATGTCAATAATAGTGATGATGGTGCTGACCAAGATGATTGATGATGGTATTGTAGGAAAATTGGTTTATATATAAGGCATATTTTGGGCCGACTTTGAGCCCAAAATTGAGTGGGCCCCAAACATCTTTTGGGGTGCGTCCGAAGAGGTGAAGTGTTCCTTGCCGTGTGGCAAGTCACACGGTGAAGACGGTTCGTCAAAACCATTTATGAGTGAATGGGAAGTTGACGTCGTTTTCGGGTCTAACATTAATTTTTTAGATAAAATTCTTTTGAATTTTTTCAATAAAAATTGTTGTGAGAATTTAATTTAATTCTAAATTCAAATTTTGGATTCCTGAGTGGTTTCCTAAAGTTTGTAAATATGAGAAATTAATTTGATTCGAAATTCAAATTTTGGGTTCCTGTGTGGTTTCCTAAAATTTATACATCTTCCTTTATTTATTAAACTATTCTTTAATATATATATATATATATATTTTAATAGTTTAAATAATTAAAGTTCAACAGGTTGTTACTGTTCCACTTATGGCTTGTATGACAATACTATTAAATAATAATATATTTCCAACAGGTTTTAACTTGGTCTCCAACGGTACTTGTCAAAGTTTGAAAAATATTTTCTTGCATCGGTCAAACAGTACCTGTTCGGATTCTTTAGTACCTGTTCGGGTCATATATTTTGGCTATATATACAGCCGTTTTCCTAGCAGTCCGGATCAGAGGAAAAAAAAAACAGTCCGTTTATTTTTGCATTTGTTGTCCAGAATTTTGTCCTATGTATTTATTCCTCATTCTAGTTTTAGAATAAATATTCAGAGAGTATAGTTCACAGGTTTGGTTCGCCGAACAAATTTATTTGAAGTACTTCTATAAATTTGTGAAGATCATTGTATCCTGGGAGATAGACGCCACTCAACGGTAAGTACCATAGCGGGGCGAATCTGTCTTAAGGACAGAGTGTCACACACTCGACTTGGTCTTGTAATTTTATTTGGTTCGACAAAATAAATCCGGTATGTTATTTATTTATTTTGTTTGAATTTATTTCTAGTTTTTATTTTCACAGAAGATTGTTCCAACAGATTCCTTCCAATCTATAAAAAATAAATAAAATAAAATAAATTTTGGGAGATTCCTTTCTCGATCTTTTTTAACCATCAAATCTATCATGGATTTAGAATTATTTTTAATTCAAATGGTGGACTTAGCACTATTTGTATTAACTGAAACAATAGTTTGAGGGAGTGAGAGAGAGAGAGCAGTTGAATAGCTCTGTATTAATTTGTAATGTTGTGTATATTTTACAAAGAGAATGTACTCTCTTTATAGAGAGAATATCATGTATTGGATGCCCACCGAAAGCATAAAAAATTTACAAAATAAAGTGCTAAAGCTATAATGCTAAGCTATGATGCTATAACAGCTATTAACAATTATACACTAACAGCTATGATGCTATAACAGCTATTAACAATTATACACTAACATCCCCCCGCAAACTCAAGGAGGGAAAGCATCAACCAAGTTGAGTTTGGAAACAAGATCATTGAAGCGGCCAGGAGGATGAGCCTTAGTGAAGATATCAGCGGGTTGATCGACGGAAGCAATAGGGAGAAGATGAACAGTACCACAGGTAACATGTCGGCGAATGAAATGACAATCAATCTCAATATGTTTGGTGCGATCATGAAAAACATCATTGTGAGCAATCTGAATGGCACTCTGATTGTCACAATAGAGAGGGGTAGGACCAGAAGAAGAAACACCCATATCAGCAAGGAGCCAGCGAAGCCAGAGAAGTTCCTGAGTAGTATCAGCAAGAGCTCGGTATTCAGCTTCGGTGCTAGAGCGGGCAGTGAGGGATTGTTTTTTGCTACGCCAAGCAAGAAGAGAATCCCCTAAGAAGAAGCAGAATCCCGTGGTAGAGCGTCGATCTGTAGGATCCCCCGCCCAATCAGCATCGAAAAAGGCACACAGTTCAAGAGAGGAGGAAGCAGAGAAGTGAAGGCCATGGAACAGAGTGCCTTTGAGGTAGCGAAGGATGCGGAGTAGAGCAATATAGTAGGGAGTGCGAGGAGCCGACATGTACTGACTGACAATGTGAACAGCATAGGCAATGTCAGGACGAGTTACTGTGAAATGGACAAGACTGCCGACGAGCTGGCGATAAAGTGTAGCATCGGAGAGAAGAGTCCCATCGAGAGGAGTGAGACGAATCTGAGGATCAACTGGAGTAGAGGTAGTTTTGCAATCAGTAAGACCAGCACGAGCCAGAAGATTGGATGCATATTTGGCCTGGGACAAATAGGAACTAGTAGAATCATGAGAGACTTCAAGGCCTAAGAAGTAGTTAAGAGTACCAAGGTTCTTCATCTCAAACTGACGGTGGAGAAACTGTTTGAGGTGGAGAATACCAGCGTCATCATTACCAGTGATAATCATATCATCCACATACAGAAGAAGAAGAGTGGTACCATGAGAAGTAGTCCGTATAAAAAGAGCAGAGTCATAGGAGCTAGAGGTGAACCTGAAGTCATGAATGGTAGAACTGAACTTAGCAAACCAAGCACGAGGCGCTTGCTTGAGGCCATAGAGAGCACCCTGTAGTTTGCAAACTTGATGAGGTGGAAAAGTGGACCCAGGTGGAGGTTACATGTAGACCTCCTCAAGAAGATGACCATTGAGGAAAGCATTTTTGACATCTATCTGTAAGAGCTCCCAGTGGCGAGCAGCAGCAACAGCAACAGCAAGTAAACTGCGAACAGAGGTAAGCCGAGCAACAGGAGAGAATGTCTCCTCATAATCAAATACCATATTCCTGGTTGAAACCCTTGGCAACAAGACGAGCTTTGTAGCGTTCAATAGAGCCATCAGAATGTGTTTTGATTTTGTAAACTCATTTACAGCCAATCGCAGTCTTGCCAGGAGGAAGATCAACAAGATCCCAAGTATGAGCTTTGTCCAAGGCCTGGAGTTCATCAGTCATAGCATGCTGCCAAAGAGGATTAGTACAAGCCTCACGATAGGAGGTAGGTTCATAAGCAGAGAAGGCAGCAGATCCAACAATATAATCACGAAGATGGATAGGAAGT